CCCCCCCCCCCCCCCCCCCCAAAAACAAAAACAAAAAAAACTGAGTGCACCTAAAGACGAGCAACCAGGATGGTAAAGGGGTTGGAACATAAGATGTATGGGGAAAGCTGAAGTGCATGTGTAGTTGAGGAAAAGGAGATTAAGGGGGGTAACAATATAGCAGTTTTCAAATACTTGAAAGGCTGCCATAAAATGGGCAGGGTGAAACACTGTTCTCCCTCACCACAGAGGGCAGGACACAAGACAAAGGGTTTACATTGCAGCAAAGTAACTGTGGAACAAACCAAGAAAAATCATCTTATGAACGAACATGAGGATGATGGAACAAGCTTAATCAGGAAAGCTGTGGAGCCTCCTTTATGGGAGGTTTTCAAGAAGCTGGCTAGATACGTGTCTGGGATGGTTTAGAACTAATAAATCCTGCGTCTCTGCAGGTGTGAGCCTAGAAGACTTTGGAGGTCCCTTCCAAACTTACGATTTTTAAGCATCTTGTGATTTCTGGCATCTGGCTTGTGGTTTTCTAAAGCCTTGTGCTTCCAAAAGTGCAATCTAGGCCTTTCCTTTGACAGTATGTCCCCAACTAGCTCCACTTTAGCAGAATGAGGTCCTGATGCTCCCTTGGTCCTCTGGGCTTTCCTATAATGCAAAAAGATAAAAACTGTTAGCTAGCACATAGTAGTAATGCTCAAAATTTGAGAGCCAATACCTCAAATTACATCTAGAAATTAGCATCAGATTGAACTGGCTTTCAGCTAACTAGCTGAAACCCCAGGAGAAAACCTAATGGAACATATGTCCTTCTTTACTTCATTGTATGTACATGGCTTGAATTGAAAAAAGGACTTCTTTAAAAAAGAATAGAAAATTGTGTTCTAAGGATATCCTAGAAACCATGGAACCTGTAATAGGCAAATAATCCAAGAATACTTTTTAATGTCTTGATGAGGGCTTTTTCTTCGCGGTATTTGAAAAAAAAAAAATACATAAAAAGTTAAATCTGAAAAAACAATACCAGCTTGACCGAGTTACTTATTTCTGACCTGTAGAGTTAATAATCTTTCAGATGTTAGCCTGAAAACAAAACAACATACAGATAAGAAAGTGCCTGAATGTTGGTGGTACTTACTTTTGATTTAGAACAGCAATGCAACAGCTTGTTTGAGGAGTGGGTGTTGGTTGACTGTTGAAGTCATGCAGATTTACATCCAATAATAAGCATCACAAACAGTTCAAAAGCAAGTTTATTTCCCCCCTCTTCATTTATGAAATAGGAACTTTATTTATAGGTTTTATCATTAACTTACTTTCTTACACTTCACATAAAAAGAACTGAATCATTAAATAACTGCCTTCCCCTTCAGACCACTTCACTTCAGTTCATACAAGGAATAAAAATTAAGTCAGTTAGCTAAACTCCTCTGTATAAATTAAATATATATTTCCACATCTAGCGCATTGCACATGTATCCTTTTCTTTTGTGCAAAATATACTTAACTATACATTTTCAAAATAAAAGAAGGTTTATCTTATAAGTTAACTGGAACACCAGATTCAGAATCCATTAAAATGTGTCAATAACCAAAGCTCATCAGAAAGTTTTGTTGTTTTTCCAATAATTAAACCTGAAACTATTTGAGAAAATGGGGAATCATTTTCAAGGCACAACTCAAAGGATCATCCACTTTCTTGCAAAAGTGGCTTTCAGAAAGAGATGTTAACCCAAGGCTTTTCTCAAACTGTGCTTTTTTCAACATTAGCTGTAATTATGAAGAACTAATTCTTTTGTTTAAAATGGTTTGACACGCAAGTAATGAAAAACAGACGAGGTGACACAACATGTTTCTTGAAGGTGTAATGTTCTTCCTGGTGAACATTCATCCAGTCTCCATAAAACCAATCCCGCCCCTTCACCTTTTGGGACTAGTGCCCTTTCTTGCTACCATTCAAAATGATACTTGCCTCTTCACTTTTCTCTCTCCCTGAACAGGCGAACAGCCTTGTTCTCCCTGCCACTTACTCTTCCCCACTGGCCACTTCAGCAGCAGATGCTACAAGCTCAGGCCCAGCAAGTCCTCTCTCAGCTCCAACACCAATCACCTCTTGTAATGAAGTGAGCAAAGGGGGTAGGGCCAGAGGGAGATAACTTGTACAAGCACAAACAGAAAGCAGGGGGAAGAGAGGGGTAGACAGCAATGCCTACAGCATACCTGAGACAGTATGCCAACCTCCTCTTAAAATGACCACACACTTTTTTTTTTTTTTTTACCCTCCGCTACACTGT